CCCTCAGGGTGCTTGTTTAGTTGTGATCTTCCAGTTTTTTGTTCCAGGGACGAGGCAGACTGATAAGTCGATCAGTTTGCACTGTCGGCTGCCCGTGCTTGATCCCGGGTCGAACTGAAGGGGTCGAGACAGCTTTGATCTTGCTTAATTATTGCGGTTAGTGTTGCTGATCTTGATTTAAGTGTTTGAATTGTTGTTTGGATTTTGAGGTGTTTTTAGCTGTAGTGAAGAGTTTGGGTTGCTAGAGGATTTCGAATGTGTACATACTGGGATGATGATGGTATTTTTCCATGGTGTAGAAGTTGTTATTTGAATATACATCAGTCTCTTTGATTGAATGCAAACACTTCTTATTTCATTCGTATCTACAAAATTTATCGATAGAAAGTCTCAAAGAACAACATCAAAGGACAAAATGAAAAATATGAGCAGCCAATTTAATGATATGTACACTGAAAAGAGAATAGTAAACACAGTAGGTATATCTCCATGAGTACATGCCCACCTGAAAATGAACTCTATCTTTTGTACATTAATTGTTATTTGGACAAGTGCTATTCTTATCATGACTATGGCACTTCCTACCAATTACCACATGCTCCGAGTCTGTAGAATGAAATCAAAAGATTTCGAAGATGCAAAGCACAAAAAACTTGGTTTGCCGTGCAGTCCTCTTGGATGTGATAACTCTATTTAATATCCCATTTGGTGATTGCTAAGCGAACTTGTAACTATCACGTGATTTTCCTCCCTTCAAAACTTTCAAAATCCGTTGGCCCAAACTATCATATGTAATGTAACTATCATACGAAGAGGCCTTCGTGTGCTGGAAAGGAACTGGGTTAGGGCTTCACACAAAGCTATTCTTGTCTTATGTATTCTTTTTTTCCCTTTTTTTTATTTTTCTGTTTTAATTTATCTCAGTTGCATATAAAATTATGGACCAATGTTTCAACATCCAGACAGCAGATGAACTGGTCAGGATGGCTCGCTTTCAGTCAAGAGTCAACCTCTGTAACCTTTTTTCTTTTTCCAATTATCATATCAGGTTGCCAATTTTGCATCACTTGAACTTTCTCCAGTTGATAGCCGCACACTGACTGATTTTATGCATCTTAGAGGCTTAAAGTTGTGTTCGTTAGGTCGTGTGGTGGGTGAACAATCGCTGATTCTCAATGTGTGTGTGTGCATGCATGCGCGCAAGTGCAGACACTCTCAATTGTCCTTTACTATTTTTGAGCCATAAATTAATTTATTTACTAGAACCCGGTGGAACTTGCAGATAAGCTTCCTCGCATACTATTTATCTGTATTCATGAAATGGTTACTCGAGCTTTTAAGCATATAGTTCAAGCTGTTATTGCTTCTGTTGGGAGCATAGAGAACATGTCGTCCTCTGCCATAGCCACAACCTTGAATTTCTTGCTTGGGTCTTCTAATATCAAAGACGATCAAGCTCTCGAAATTGCAATGGTTACTGACATTTTTGGAGAAACGGTTTTGTTCGAAACTGCAGGTTGAATTCCAACACCTGAAGAAGTTGTCAATTCTTCGGGGAGTTCGGCACAAGGTACTGATCAAATAAAATAATGCATATATATTTACATGGTAAATATTTAAAATGACACTTAATATTATTAAGAGTTTGGGGTATAGAATTTATTTGTAATTAACTTATTTTTATTATTTTGTTAAAATGTATTTACTTTCAGAATTAAAATTATTTGTATATACTTGTAATTTCTGTGATAATTTTTTTGATGAGAGACAATAATATTATGACTTCGAAGGTGTAAAATTTCGATTAAAACAAAAAATATTATTTTTGGTTATTTATTAAAGTATATAAATTTTCAGAATATGAATGTTTTGTATATACTATGTGATAAATATTTATGATGATAACTAATAGTATTAAGACTTTGTGGTATGCGTCTTGCTTCTAAAATATTTATTTTGATATTTTTATTAAAATTCATTAGATTAAAAATATTATACATGTAATTTTTTAATTTTTAAAAATAAAATTAACTTTTTCGTGTACAATTAATCCAGCAAACCGACAATTCTAACCAAAGATCCAAACATTAGCCCGTGCACTGTACGGGCTGGGTTTGAATTTGGGGCCTAAAATTAAATTGAGTAATGGCAGAAACATAAAGGTGGTCCCCAGTACATCTGTTTTGATTTCGCCCTCTTACCATTATTGGGCCTCTGATGGGCCTATCACACTTGCCAGTTGGTGTCTAATCTGTAGACTGCAGACTGTAATAAATTTTATCTATTTAATTACAATTATAGTATACTTACCATTGTACAAAAAATAAGAAAAAATAAATAAATAATGAGTTTGAATACTATTAAAATTCAATAACTTTATGCACCTGAAAAAAAAAAAACACACTTCACCTTTTCTTCTCTATAATAATAATAATAACAAATTTACAATCAACCCGACGTCAAACTGCTTGACGCGTACGCTTCACTATCTAGGATTTGACAACACTTTTGCTGTCTAATCTTACTATCATTGGTTAAATCATATACGCATTATTATTATTGGGAAATGCCAATTCCGAACATTTCTGTCGGGATTTGTAACCGTCGTGAATAGTTAATCTAACGATTACAAATCTGGAATGATTCCGTAACGAGACGGTAGAATATCCCATTATTATTATGAATTGTTTGACAATCAAATGGTTAGTCAATAGTATTTTATATTATCTATTTCAGTTGATTATTTTAACTGTTTTGACTAGTAATTTTTTTTTCTTATAAAATATAAATCATTCATGCTTTATAATTTTTTTTAGCTAGATAATTAAATTTGGTAGGAACTTTAATTTCATTTGAGCTAATTGTGTGTCTTGCTTATTGTGTTGTATTATTATGGGATTAGGACAAAGATAGCTTTCAGAAGAGGTGATATATATCAAGCATACATGTTTGCACCTTAATTGTTAGGTTAGTGTTTGTGAATCAACATCTTATAATGGAAATTTGTTCATGTGGAATATCAATAGCTCTACTAAGCATATTTGTTTACTTCAAATTGTGAAATTGAATATATTAGTATTTGTGCTAAGGTTTTATTCATACAAGTTGTATCTAGACATAAAATATGTCTAGATACATAGCAAAATGGATGAATCAAAAAAGTCAAAATGACACTTATTTTAAAAAGGAGGTAGTAATAAGTATGCTAGAAAATTAAATCATAATAAATGTGAATGCTTCAAGGGAAAGTAATATGTTTATGGGAGCCGTCGAAGTTTGT